GGGGGGGGCCTGGGTAGCCAGCCCTCGGCGCCACCTGGCGCACGCCATGCCCCACCCCCAGCCCTTAGCGCCGCCCGGAGCATGCAGCCCCACACTCCAGCGGTGATTTAAAGGGCCCCAGGCCCTTTTGACTCACCAGGCTCAGAGGCAATAGTCCGCCCCGCTTACCCCCTGTTGGCAGACACCGGGCCTTCCCACGGTTGTTGCTCTGTGCTGTAATATTGGCCCAGTGCTGAAGTGGGACCACTGGCAGGGGTGTGCCTAATTTGCGGTTCCCCCCCCCCTTTCCTTCTCACTCCTGCTGCAAAATTCAGATTTCCCAGGGAACAAAGGCCAAAGGAGGTGGGAATTCAGCCATTCCTAGGGCAGGAAAACCCACCTTCCTCCCACTCGGTGTGTCAGAGAAGGGGCAGCAATAGAGCAATCCAGACGAGATGAATCCCTAACTTTAGGACCATCACCCCTCCATTTTGCAGATGGGGAAACGGAGGCACGGGGCAGCACCCAAGATCCTCTAGCAGCCCAGGAGCAGAGCTGGGAATCGACTCCAGGTTTGCCTGAGTCATCCTGCATGCATGGCAGATGGGACATTGTCCTGCTCAGCTCAAGTGTAGCTGAATGCACTGTCCCTTAATCCAAGCCTAGACCTAGGTGGTGCTAGGTTCCTTCTTCACCTAATGCACAGTCAACCTGCGGAACTCATTGCCAGGGGATCTTGTGAAGGCCCGAACTATAATGGGGTTCAACATGAATTCGATTCCTTCGTGGAGGGAAAGGTCTGTGGGTGGCTCTTTGCATGACCCCATGCTCTGTTTGCCAGAAGCTCCGTGTGTGAGGACAGAGGAGGATCCCTTGCTGATCCCCTGCTCTGTTCATTCCCTCTGGGACACCGGGCATCGGCCGCTGCCGGAAGACAGGAGGCTGGGCGAGATGGCCCTGTGGTCTGACCCCATTGGGCCGATCTTATGTAGCACAGCCTGGCCTGCTTTTGCTTCCCAGCTCCATTCTCGTCTTGCCAGAGCGATGCTCCCCCAGCGCCACATGCTGGCCGTGGGAGAGTTAAACGCTCAGCTCACATGCCGAGCAAAACGTCGCCCGGCACTGGCAGATCTGGCTCTCCATCCCCGCCTGCCTGAAAACCCTACCAGCTGGCGCCCGCGTGGAAAAGGGTAATTAATTCCGCTCTGGGGGGCGGAACAAAACAAGTTAACGAAGCAAAAGGAGTCTGGCTGGTGAGCACTTTCCCCTCCCCCCCGACCTGCCGC